GCATTAACCATAGGAGGTGGGGCATACTAAAATATACCCTATCAAACAACAGCATAACTTACTTTCAGAAGATACTCATCTATGCGGGTTAAAGTAGGATACAAAAGTTTCAACAACTTTGCAACAGGCAATGCCATCATAGTGAATCCAGCAGCGCTGCGCTCATCAAGTTGAACATCAGAATAACCACCACGTAGTGGTGTTGACTTAGATAGAGCAAGTCCATACAAAGGCAATAATTTCAGTGATTCAGGATATATCATCCTCCCAGCCAGTCGATGTTGAACAGCATACAGATTGCGATATTCTCTAAAGGCTTTAACAATTCTGAGGTGAACTGAATTTCTAGCTTCTTCCAATTTAGAGGAAAGAGTTTTCTCAATAGCTGCACAAAAATATCATTTTCAGAATATAAGAGCAAAAGGAAATGCCAATAACAAACAACGGCATGGAGTGGGATAGTTATTTTCATACCTAGCCTACTGAACAAAGAAACAATAGCACCAGCATCAGCAAGGCGATACATTTCTCCTAATTCTGCAACCACAGGTGCTGCAGCTGTGTGTACCCTAATGCGCCTTTCTCCAGACGATGATGTGTATCTTTGTATTATTAAGGAAACTTCAAGGGACTAATATTAAATAAACCATAACATAAACCCATAAAATATAGTGTCTTCATATCTAGAAATCTAGAAATTCAGTCAATTGACAAGTGGTCACTATATCCCCCCCCCCCCACCCCACAGTTTCACTTTACTCCCTCCATTTACAAAGTAGCAATACTATGATACTATGATGGCCCATGCAAAAATGATTAATTGAAAATCATGATTAGAGACCATAAGAGGCTCATTAATTCCTCCAAATCATCTGTAGCTTGATATTTGCACAAAATATATATGGAAAGAAACTGCTTCAAAACTCTGTGCTTGATTTTATGCCAAGTCCCTAGTCCTTGAACCCATCTACTCTGTTCTCTTTCGTCGGAGACCAAACAAGGTATAATATATCTGTTGCCCACGATATCACATTTCCCACATCGTAGGGATGCTCTTGAGGTCTTTAGATCCAACACAAGGTTCATTGACTCATTGGAAGCAGATGATCAGTCTAGTATTCTTTATAACTAGTCAGACTTTCTCACGAATATTTGAGAGAAGGGATATAGGGGCGACAAATAAAATTTGATACCTAAGGGGAGAAGAAATCTATCCCGAGTTACACGCAAAGGTACACCTTTTTATTTTTCTATAGAGGACAGAAATTTGGGGATTAAACATGTAGCTGGCACGATAGGAAAGTAAGATCTTCAAGGTTCTAGGGAAAATAGTAACTGATAAGGATTGAAGGATACAAAAGAGCAACTTGGAAATACACTGTCTGGGTAGTTAGCAGTGTTTCTTCGAGTGATAGCTGCATTGCATAAGCCTTATCACAGTCAGCAGCTGGAAGTGCTAGTAGATCAGTGGATCGCAGCATAAAATTACCATGATACGTTGTAAAGCGAATGCCTTGAACAACAAAAAAACATGCAATTAGTTTCAAATGAAAGCATGTTGAACTAAAATTCTATCTGTGCTGCAGATTTGTTTTTGAGAAGATGTTCACCATGGGATCTCAATAATACCCACTTCTATGGTTTTCACTACAAAAACTAGTTTTTTTTGTTTCGAGAGATTATTAAGGAAAAATCTGCAATCGCATTCTAATTTTAAGAGATTGTAAGTTTAGTGGACTAGTATTGAAAAATAAAAAATAAAAACTGACCTTTTCCACATCGTATTCGCATGACAGACTCCCAGGCCGTCTCTCTTGTCAAATCTCTTTCCAATTCATGCCTCAATTTATCTTGATGAATGGAAGCATGGAAACTTGGATAATAATATACCTGACCGCCAGTATACTTTGACAGAGTCCCTATTACAAGTACACGATATCATCTTATGATTATAGTTGCATAGCGTGACATTAAATAACAAACACCAAACACTAAACTAAAGTAGTTACCTGCTAATGCAAGTATATATAACAGAAAATGGAATTCAAAGTCCATAAGAAAATATGTAAATATAAAAGCCTACAACGACTGAATATGTCTAAGATCTGACATTACAATATACTCCGTATAAAATTGTAGGGTTTGTAGCAGTTATTTTAGCTCTAAGTTGGTAACTTATGTAAACAAAATCTTCAGTTCTGTCAAATTGTTGAGCTTCTAGTCCTTAGATCTGTCTTCTGTTTGTTTCCATCAAACAGTTTACCGGTCTCCTACCAATGTATGTGCAGTTGTACGTCATTTAGATTAGGTGAGAAAACAATAGACAAAATAGACTATAGGCCTGTGAACTATAAGAAGGATATATTGTATTGATGTGAAGTCTTTATAGTAAGTCCATATACAAGGATGTATGTCATAGGTCAAGCCAAACATAGTTAGTGCTTAAGCATTCCCCGTCGAGCTAGTTATAAAAGCCAACTGCCAAGCGAGTTATAAATGCACTCTATTCTACATTTTTAGGAGCTCTAAGGGGACTTAATACAAATATCAGCTAAATACACTTATCTCTTCCAAAAATAGAAATATGGTACGGCATTGAAGAAGAATCTGTGTGTAATGTATCTGTATGTACGTATACATGTGTATATTGGATATTGAAAGGTAAATGAAATTACCTAATGTCGCTAAATCAGTAAATTTGTCACTAAATGTATATACATTTACTGAAATTTGATACTTGGTGAAATCAGCAGCCATCTGTTTATAAAAAGGATCTTCTGGTATTCTCAGCATATGTTCTTTATCAGTCCCATACAGGCGAGGATCATCTCCACGCAGCATCAAGCGGCCAATGCCCAGTGATGGCAGTGTGTTCTGAAAGATCAATAGTTTACCACCAAGTTGGTTCTGGCAGTAGGAACACAAGTTTTAGTATTTATACCTTTGAAGACAACTAAAAAAAGACTAAACAATTCCACACAACTAGTAAATGAAAAGAATGGTGTAGAGTCCATTAAGGAATTTGCACACCATAATCATATATGCAGCTTTAAGGGCAGGACCAAATGCCGATTCCACATTTAAATTATGTTCAAACATTGAAGGCAGGAAGTCGAGAAATGCATCTACAACAGCTCTAGATTCTGACAAGTTGGCAAGAAGATCATCTGGCAATGGAACAAAAGTGTCTTCAAGATCTGATACAACCATCATCTGAGGTTGTGCTAAAGATGACTGGCAGAAAGAGGGAAAGACTTAGAAAGTGGAACACTGAGATGTTTGAAGCATCTCAAAGAATAATGCATTACACGAAAACGCCACTTGCCTTCATATTATAAAAATGTATGGTAGTGTCATAAGTTATGAACCCAATTTGTGTTCTAGGAAATCCAGGCAATCTATCCAAACAACTTTTGATGGTTTTTGCTATCACCTGTAAGACATTCACAGTTGAAATACATCATTCAACATTTTTTTCCCGGTAGGTATGAATTCAAGTGCAAGAACTTTGCATTCGGGGCTAAGTGCTATATCACAATGCACATAATGGTGCAACCCCTGCACTTGAGTAATAGAAGCAAGTAATCCAGAATTTTGAAATACAAGTCCTCACCTCAAGCATTCCGCTTTTAACAGCAGATATTGATACATCAATGAGAAAAAAATACAACGGCGGCATTGGAGGTCGGACCATATATTCAGCTGGAGCTATAAAATCCACACTACCTTTAGTGAGCTCAGGCCGCTGGTCAAGATCAACTCTTCTGCCACTGGCATCTAAATGTGCAAAATAATCACCAGGAACTGCACAAATAGTTCAAATTGACGAGGCAATTGATAAATGTACAAACAAATAAATAAACTATAACAATCAACTTCCGAATTAGCTGGAGCCTTGCCAATCAGCATACACAGTTCAACGGATAACCTATTGGACAGAATAATACAAGTAAAGCTGGGTGCTTCCTCAACAAAAAAAAACTAAGGATGGGTGCTTCCTACCATGGTATCATCAATCATAAATTTAATGTAATATAGCATAGCACAACACAGAATAGCATAGAAAATATAATTCTCCCTCTGTTCCTAATTAGTGTCCACAGTTTGACTTACACTGTTACACATAAATTAAGAGCGGTTAAAAAGTGGGTATAAATTTGTATGAAGTTATTTATTGAGGGAGGAATGGTGTGAAATGATGAAAAAGTCGATGGAAAAGCTTATTTGAAAGTGAAAAATACCATAAAAGAAAAGGTGAAAACTAATTTGTGAAACCAAATAATGAAATAGCGACACTCAAACAGCAATAAGGAATGGAGGGAGTACAATACAAAACCATAAAAGTTGACTTATGAAACAAATGTTGTACATTTGTCAATAAGATATCGTTGAGAAACCCAAATGTTAGTTGAACAATGGTAAGTTAACGTTAGAATGTTAGTTGGATGCTACTACGTCATGACTCATGAGCAATGTTAGTTGACATTTAAAGGGAATATGTTCTCTCTCTCTCTCATTTGACTATTTGATTATTATTGTTGACTATTTGATATACATTAGCTTGAGTTTGTATCTTCTTGCCCATAACTTTTTTATTACGTCAAAAAGGGGAAGTATTCAAATACTGGTTAGCATTTAGGCGTGCTAGAAACTACTCTCAGTATTCCAATACTATATTGGAGTTTCAAATACTAGACTGTTTCAACTATCAAAACAGCTAGTTTTTTACTCCCTCCGTCCATGTAAGATCTTCCCATTACGCGTTACAAGGCTTGACCGACTTTATTTTCAATTCAATTTAATTCATTATAGGAGTAAAATTTTAAAATAAAATTTATATAGTAATAAACTACATGAAAAGTTCTACAAAACTAGAGGTGACAAGACTTTATTATTTTATGAAATGACTAGTAAAAATGAGCAAACAAAGTGATTAAAGTTTGACCCTGTGAATAGTGTCTGGAAAGATCTATGGTGGACAGAGGGAGTATATATTATTGGCCTATATTATCGCCCTTCCACCGCCAACATAGTACAGCACTTATGGCGAAAATCCTTGGATTAACAAGAGCATTCATAAGCCTATTTTTTCCTATATTCTCCATATATTCAAGCAAAGTGATCCTTATCAAAATCTTATTGTTTGAGCTCATATCCTGCTTGCTCGCGTCTTTGAGAGAAAGTACATGTCATATTCTAAACGCTTCATTGTATTTCGGTAATCTACTCTTTTAGAGAGTTATTCCAGTGAGCCTTTTGGTTTATTTATTGTAAAAGAGAAGGAGAGTCATTTATCTTGTTGTGGTTATTGTTGAAGAATCAATATTCTACGACTACTTGAAGTGCAATATCTTCAAGTGGGAAGAGATTCTTGAGGTGTGGAATCCTTGGGTGAAAAATAAGAGACGTGCACTCAAAGTTCTCAAGTTGTAAGGTTGTCCAAACACAGTTAGGTCTGGAGGTAAGTTAGTAGAAATCTTGGGCACCATTAATTGGAGACTAGATATAGGCACGGAGGTTAGTCAAACCATTATATATCATGTGTTCTTTATTGCTTTTCACTCCATCTTTAGTTGGTGTTTGAGTGATTGAGCATTTCATACATGAGAGGTATTTGAGAGAAATGTCCTGCAAAAAAATTTCATTTTTTCTACAACTCTATTCACCCCTCCCCCCTAGAATTGAATGATTTGTTCAACGTTAGGTGTGCACAGTTGTAACAATTCAAAATAAGTTGCTATCTAGTCTCTGATGTGAATCAAGATTACTTGATTTACGTCTTTACAACATAGGCTCAGGAAAGAGGAGCTGGAAAAATATCAACACTACCGGTTAGGTTACCCGGATAAATTCTTGAAATTCCTTCACGCAAAATGGTCGATCGTCGGGAGTGAACGGTCGACCATATGAAGACCTCCGAAACAACGAGCAACAATCCGAGGCACGGTCGACCATCACGTTACCAAGGTGCAGGGTCAGAACGCTGGAAGGATGGCTGTCCATCACCTGAATCGCGGGGGAAGAATGGTCAACCGTTCTTGGGCAATTAGAGTTCCAGAAATTGCCCATTAATTTCCTACTTTGGCTTGATTTTAATTATGTCTTTTCCAAATATATTTAAAATCTTTTCAAGGTATATCTTGGTTGCTATCTCAAGATCAAGGTTGGTGGAAGAAGCCAAGGAAGATTATGTAATTCTTTTATGAAAAATTTACCAAGATAATTACCATTGTCTTTAAATGGTAATTGGTAATTAAAGAGGCAAGATTGGAATTGAAGACTAAATACTCTTGGCTTCAAATGGGGGTTGGAAGAAAAGATCGAGGATCAAATAATTTAATTTGATAGGATTTTTATTGTAATATTTGCGCCTTCCTTGAAGTTTAGTATTTCATTTATTTTAATTAAGTAGTTAAATTATGCATATAAATTTATATTGTGCCCATAAATAAGCTTTCTATTTCTATTTGTAAAACATCTTGAATTAGAATGAAAAGTGTGTGTTTTGTAATCATGTGTGGGTTATTATTTTGGTCCTGTGTGGATCGAGAAATTTGTCAGAATTTCAACGTGTATGTTGTAAAACTACACCTTTGGTGTTATCACGGCGGGTCTCGTGGAGGTGCCAAAGTTATAAACTAGTGAGTCTCTAAATCACCTTATCTCTACGCCTATTCATACAAAAGAATTCCTGGGAAAAAGAAAATATAGAATTCCTTGCTATAACATGAAAAAGGAAATATAGAATTCTTTCTTTCCCTTTCAATATTAAAAGGGATATGCAAGACTAAGGCTAAATATACTTTTAAACAACATTTGAAAGGGTATATTTTATAAAGTTAACAAAAGATACAACAGTGGGGGTGAGTTATTTTACATCTACATTGAGCATCAGAAATTGCTACTATAACCAAATACAACATGGTTGTACTAGTTGAAGATAACTTTAGTTCAGCCGTTTGACTATTGGCAGTTTATCATACCCATGCATCTATTTTATATAATATAGTTTAATGTACGAAGGACCTGGTGAACAAATTAGTCATTTGGTAGTTAGAGCTTAGAACCTTTAAAAAAAGTAGTTGAACGTTCAAGAAAAAGAAAAAGAGAATAGAAAATATTATGGATGGCTAAAAAATGCTCAATAATATAAGAAGCATGTCCTTTCATATGAGCTATTTCCAAATGAACTAGTATACCATAAATCATAAAAAGACAGTATTTGTGAATTAAAAAAAAAATATTCTACATAACTGATACTCTCGCTGCTCTCTTTTAACTATCACTCATTCACACTCTCACTTTATCACTTCAGGTTGTCAGGAGAATATTAATTGCTCATTGTTCACCATTACAAATCACCATCCATAGATGTTAGACAGTAAATGAAAATAACAATAGGGGTATTTTAGTCATATAGATGGTTCACCTTGACTTAAGGAATATGCATTACTTTCTTGATAGTGCAGAAAAACAATAGTTAAAATAGAACATATGGATATTTACCATCGTTGTGCAATTGGCACATGTTGCACTTCCATTTTCTTCCACTATCTGTAAATGTCACATATGGGTTTACATAGGTGCGACACTTTCTGCAACGTATAATGCCAGTTGTGGCAAAATTGATTACCGGAACTTCCTGGTGGAGGAACATTTTGCATTAGGTATGGATGAGAAATGCACTAGAAATCTTAAACTAACAACAATTCGCAAGCATCATAAATATACAAACCCCATCAGGAGCCTCAGCAAGAGGGCACACAACAGCTCCGAGAGATAAATACCATCTTGAAGCTAAAGACTGCGAGTTTGGAATGCCACTGGTTGTCAGCCGTAGATACCTAGAACTGCAGTTCATAGGGAACATTTCTGACAAGGGGCTCTCCTGCCTATTGTCTTCAACTTCAAGAGGCCTTGGTAAAACTTTTGCATCAATTCCTGTGTCATAAGATCCTGGAATAGACCCAATAGAAAGCGATTTGAAGTCTTCTACCAATCCATGCATTTGAGGTATGGGAGGTGCAGAACCAGAAAGTGTCATTGGATTGGGTGGAAAATATCCTCCTTGTGAAAGAAAAGAGCTAGGTGGTGCAGACACATATCCTCCTGGTTGAGAAGGAAAGAATGTAGCTTGCCCAGTTGGAGGTTGTGAAACGACAGTTGTTTGCTGGCTAGGATATCCTGGAAAACCTGGTTGCAAGATGGGTCTGTCCGGAGAATATGATGAAAATGTAGGCATAGATTGCTGAAAGCTACGCATAGGAGCTGGATAATTTGGACCAACAGGGGACTGAGGAACCGCAGCACTCGGCTGAGAAGTGCTCATGCTCTGCGGAGGACCCGCAAGGGGAATTGGAGGCGATGAAATAGGGGCTGAAACAGGTCTAGCTGATGACGGGGAAGATGGGAATTGGGAAGTTGAAGAAAATGGCAGGGTTGGATAACGCTGGAGAGAGGTTGTAGCTGAGGGACCATAGGATGCTGGCGTTGGAGGTGGACGTGATGGGTCATTAGAGCTAGAAATCCCTGGGGCCATGGGTCTGAAACCAGAAGATTCTGATCCAGCCACATATCCAGATGAGTAAGAAGTGGGAGGGGGAGGCTGAAAATTGGATGTTTGTGCCCCAACGACAGGTCCAGATGATTGGAAAGGGATTGAACTTAGTGGAGCTGAAAAAGGTGTGGAAGCATGTCTTGACGGAAAATTTGGTCGATTGGGGTTCTCAGTCCCCATGGATTAATGACAATGCTCCTACACACTTTATCACCCTAAACCAAAAAAGAAAGCTTTAGTACACTGATGACATTATAAGTGAGAGGAGCAGAAATCAATAAGATTCAATCACAATGAATGTGTACTCGGCAACAACCCAATAGCTACAAAAATTAAAATTGCAAACCATAATAGAATCGTGTTTCTTAGAAATCACTAAATCACTTAACACTTCAACCATAATAGTCCATAGAATTGAATTAAACCACTCACAACAACTGATACTTGCAACAAGAAAATTATAACTAATCCCGGCCTCTCTAAATGGCTCGAATTACTACAAACAGCAGCAAAATAACCGCAACAAATTAACAGGACAGATTCGGAAGAAACCCCAGGCTGCAATTAAGATTACACGAATGCAATAACCCAGATAAGAGCCTCAGATCAACGAAATCGTTACCTTGCTCGTGGTCTTCCCGGTGGCGGAGAATTCCAGTTCCCAAGGCCGGAGATCAGCGGGACTTCCTGATTTGAAACTGCTAGAACTGCAATTTATGTGGCGATTACCATGTGCCAGAAAGGATGTGGCGTAAGCCTGCGGAAAAGATCTAGAAAAAAGGGAAAAAGGTGAAGAAATTACAAATGCGGGGAAAAATAAATTACTCCTTATTAAAAATCATTTAAATAATCACCTAAAAATATGGAGTATGTAGGGTAAATTTATGAACTTTCATCATTATTTCATTTTGGTATATAAACTTTAATTTTTATCACAAGATTACACGAACTTTTAACATTCTTTCACCGGTGGTCCAATAGGCGATTTCTAAGTTACCTTTAGGTCATTAGGGGTCATTAATAATAATTTTATAAATTTAAATTTTATGATTTTGACTTCTTTTCTTTTTTCTCTCTTGGTTCTCCACTCTTTTCTTCATCTTCTTCAAGACCCCCACCCAACCCCTCCAATTTTTCTTCTCTTCCTCTTCCTGCCCCACTCCACCCTACCCACACCATTTTTCTCTTCTTCCCCTCTTCTTCTAGCCCCCCCATCCCTGTGGGTTTCAGGCTTTCTTTGTCGTATATGATGGACATGGAAGAAGAGGGTGGGGGGCTAGAAGATGAGGGGAAGAAGAGAAAAAATGGTTCGGGTAGGGTGCGGGTGGGGGTCTTGAAAAAGATGAAGAAAAGGGTGGAGAACCAAGAGGAAAAAAGGGGTCAAAATCATAAAATTTAAATTTATAAAATTATAATTTGACCCAAATGACCTAAAGATGACTTAGAAACCGCCTATTAGACCACCGGTGAAAGAATGTTGAAAATTCGTGTACTTTTGTGATAGGAATTAAAGTTTATATACCAAAGTAAAATAATGATGGAAGTTCGTATACCATAGATGAAATTTACCCGGAGTATGTACCAAAAGTCCAAAACTAATGTTGGATAAAAAATGAGTCCATCTTTGTCTGTGTTGAAGGTGATATATATATATATATATATATATATATATATATATATATATATATATATATATATATATATATATATATATTATTGAAAGGATAATTTTTATTAAAAAGTAAGGAAAGGGGAAGGAAAAAAGTACACGGAGGGGAGGACTAGACCAAAGCCCCTCTTAAACTGCATGAGAAAAAGTAAAACTAAAAGGGAAAGAAACATGAGCGATAAAGTGATCACTCCCAGATTATAAAACCGGGGTGCTAATCAAGGGAAAGGTTTCTAGGCATTACTTTCTTTGGTCTCTTTCCATCAGTTTCAATAGGACCAACAGGACCAACATACCAAAAGGGCCCAGAGTAACTTTCGGTAGTGATAATTTTTTCCAAAGTTGTTGGTTTTTGGCTCGGCCAGTATCTGGTGATCTCACTAACCGTCCCGACTTCGAGGTTAGGGTCGTAGCTTCTAGTTTTGATTGTTCTTGGTGCATTTGGCCTCTTTGCTGGTTTTTTGGTACGTCTTCTTTGGACATCTTGAAAGTCATTGGTTTCCTCCCTTTGATGTGATGTCTCCCCTTCTTCAATGTAGGACCTAACTTCGTAGTGTTGTCCGTCAATCTCAAAGGATTGAAGGACCGTTCCTATTGTTGATGCGTTGATACTTTCATCGCTAGTCAACAGTGGAGGAGGGTTATTGCTTTCCATATGATCAGAAGGAATCTCTTCATTTCCTGCACATGAGGGACTTAGTGTTCTTTCCATCTCTTTCTCAAGAGAAAGGGTGTGTTCACCACTAGTAGCTTTCAATAGTTCTTTTGTGAGAACTGGAAATTCCTTTAGGTTGATTGGAGAAGGATCAGAATTGGACTCTTTATTATTACAAGTGTCAATAGTGTGTGTGCCTTCCAATGCTGCTTCGAAAGACAAATTGTGTGCGCTGCGGCTGTGATCATTGTTACAAGGTATAGGAGAATTGGGTTCCATAGTCACCAATATTGGCTCGCTGTTACCACAGGCTGCTGGAGAATTGACAGTAGGAAAAACTTCACAACCATCAGAGACTTTCTTAACACCAGGATAAGCTGTTGTTGTACAACTCTTAGGAAGAATTACACCAAAAACTTTCTCGACTTTATCTGTGTCATCACAAACATTAGGGGCTGAATCAACACTTACGCTAGTAGCTGGGATTATAGCATCAGTTACTATGGTTCCCATGGCATCAACTAGAGGTGTTGGGGTAGCAGCCCCAGCTGTATTTGAGTCTTTGACAGGAGAAGTAGACATGGTTGCTTCATTCTCATCACTTGAACCGCCTAAGTTTGTTTGCAAAGCAATCTCTTGTGTTGTTTGGGTCACTCCAGGCTTAGAGACAGCAACAATAGTTGATGTATTTCCAGTTCCAGTATTCCCTTTAACCCATCTAGAAGTCTCATTCTTTCTCTTACAATTTTTGTGGCCAAAAGATTTGCATGAGGGGCAGTAGTCTCGGAGATCTTCATAAGTGATTGGCTGTAAGAAGGTTAGTTCTCCGAGGTGAATCCAGACACAACGAGGAAGTTCTTTGCTGGTATCTATCTCAACACAAATTCGGGCAACAGAGGGTCTCGAAAGAGTTGTTGTTGCTGAATCAGTCTTTAGAGGTTTACCAAGCAAATTTCCAATTGAATATAGAGCAAGAGAATCAAAAAGATGTATGGGCAGCCCTTCAAGGCCTATCCAAACTGGGATTAATGGTGAATCAGCATTAGGGTCAAAATCCGGAGTCCATCGAAAAACTTTCAAAGTGAAACCATTTATCTTCCAGTATTTTCGCAACAAGCATCTCAGAAAATCCTTTTCAGATTCGAAATTGATCAAAATATGTCGTTCATCTAGGAGACTTACAGAGAAATCCTTTTCAAAAGCAATTCGTTCAAAGGCCTTTCTTGTTGAGATAAGGCTTGGTCTCCCTTTGCTGAAGCGCCCAACAATTGTGCGAGAGAATCTAGATGAGAGCGCACTCACATCCTCGTTTGTGAAGGAGACGGCTGGCTGGCCCTTGAATTTGTGCGCTGGTTTGTCCTGCATCTGCAATTTCGGTGAAGGTGCGTTGAGGATGGGAGCTGGACATGGTTGGATGATGATCGCCGGACCTCCATGGCGGTCGGTGAAGACCTAGTCGCAGAGTTCAGATCTAGAGTGAGAAGACATATATATATATATATATATATATATATATATATATATATATATATATATATATATATATAGGGGCCGGTTCCTGTGAGAATGCTCCATGTGGAGAGAAATGAGAATGAAATCTAGCCGTTGGATCTGATGCATTGTGCGGCTCAGATTTCATCTTGCGCTCAGATTTTGAGATAGTGCATTTTCAAAGAATTGTGGTGCATTTTAGTGTGATGCATTTTCAAACGATTTTGGTGCATCTAATTTTGATGCAATCCTGACCCTTAGATCTCACCATCTAAAGCACCAGATTCATTCTCGTTTCTCTCCTAAGATCGCATTCTCACTAGAACCAAAATCAATATATATAATGTTATTGTATATTCATCAATTTAATCATTAAAGAGTTACAAAAAAATTATCTTCGGCACAATTGTAGTATCAGAAAACAAAGTCGTAGAGAATATTCAAACGACCTAAATTAAATGAATTATGTATCACTTTATACAAGATTATCCTTAAAGTTCCAAAGAATATAATTTTCAATAGTTTATGTTTCCATATGATTATAAATAAAGTTAAGACAAAACATTGTCATTTATGAAATATTTTTACCAAGTCCGTATTCACTTATGATTAATTTTATATAAAGTAAATTTCATAAAGGATCCCCAGTTATAGGTTGTTTTACATATTTAGTCCATATATATCAAATATTACTAGTTTAGTCCTTTGTTAACATTTTCGTTAAGAACATGGATAAAATTATAAATTCACACTCCTCTCTCTCCTCAATTAAGCTTCCTCCCTCCCCTCGCAATCCTTTCCCAAACCTGTCGTTGAGTTTGAAGTTTTTAACCCAAAACCGAAATCATCACTCTTCTCTTGATGAGTTTTAATCTGGTGGAACCCAAATTCCACAATCATCAATCTGGTGGAACCCAAATTCGAAACCAGATACCTTCATTGATGAGTTTTAATGTTTATTTTCTTTGCAATATCTTGAGACTAATTGATAAAACTCATCCATAAAGCTTATTGGTTTTGATTTTAGGTTCCACTAGAAAGACTATTAATTGAGAGAGGAGTGATCATTTCAGTTTTGGGTTTAGAGCTTCAAACTCAGCGACGAGTTTCGAAAAGAGTACGAGAGGAGTGAGGAAGCTTAATTGAGAAGAGAAAGGGGCGTGAATTTACAATTTTATCCACGTTCTTAACGAAAATGTTAACAAAGGACCATTCATGGAAATGAATATAATAATTGGAGACTAAGTTAGTAATATTTGATATGTAGGGACTAAATATGTAAAACGACTACAACTGGGAACCTTTTATGGAATTTATTCTTTTATATAATTATTTTGCGAGTAAGTGTTAAAGTAGGGTTAAAAAGTATTAGTTTAAGTGTGTTTGAAAATCTTTATAACATCACAAAAAAATGTTGTATACCTCAAACTTTTTGAAATTTTTAAGTTTATAAAAAGACTGACATTTAAATTTCAAATGCATAATGTAAAAATTTCATTAACAAATGTTATATGTCTTATCATTATTCTAGCTTTTAGGGTTGATGTTTTGTTTTGTTTGATATTTGAAAAATGATATTCGAATAAAAACTATAAAATAAAAAAATTGTTTCACCCATGCATGACACGGGTTAAAATACTAGTAAGAGAACATGGCCTAACTAAGTCCACCAATCGGTCCACTCTCGTAATGACAAATGGTTCATTTTCCTATACTAGCTAATTGTCATATGAAGTAATCATTAGGGAGAATTTCTTTTAAAACAATTATTACGGAGTATAGAGCTCCGATCACCAATTATCTTTAGTCTATTTGGCTTTCTCTCCTAATCTTCACTCCATATTACTTTATGAAGATTTGAAGAAACTTAATGATGCAGCTTTTCTTGAATTGTGAGTAATAATCTAGTACTAATGAAAAAACCATCATGGAATACACTCATATGGTACATGATTCATTTTTTCTTTTGTTATTTTGGTCGTTAGATAAGAGGAGCTGTAATTTCTATTTTTTTAAAAAAAATTTGTTCATTAAATTGAAATATAAATACAAAGATGCCCCAAGAAATTGTTCACTTTAATAACCACAAACATGTAACTAGTTCTTTGAATCCGACTCAAGAAATCACACTAACATCATGAGTGTGCATTCTTGGTCCCAATAGGAAGGAAATAATGGAGTATTTATTAATTATGCCAATTTACACTTCCAGTCCTAGATAGAAATAATTTGAAATGGTTTATTATGCAATTCATTCTTTCTTTAGTAACCTTGGGTATGCTCATATTTGGTACCGAAATATCTTAACAACCAAATCCAGTTCATGTTGTTTTATATTCGTACGGTTTCGCATAAATCTCTCTTCGCTAATTGACAGAAAAAGGGAAGCTCTTCTACTTGCTAGGATGGAGTCTGATCATCATGACATCAGTGAAAATCTATTGAAAAACAAAAGATATTTTGAAGAGTGTGGTGATGAGGAGGTAAAATTAGGGGAGAAGATATGGTTAGAGATGAAGAGAGTGTCGGTCGTGGCTTTCCCAGCAATATTTACCAGATTCTCAACATTTGGGATTAGTGTCATCAGCCAGGCATTTATTGGCCACATTGACCCTATTGATCTTGCAGCCTATGCTTTGGTACAATTTGTACTGCTCAGATTTTGCAATGGAGTATTGGTAAGCTGTGTAGGACAGTCCTTTAAAAATTGTTTTTTAGTGTTAACTCTTAGCATGTTTATTGCTAAATAGAATACTTATAAAGTAAAAAAGGATTCTTTAAGCTGTGAATCTAATAACCAAAGAGTTTAAGTTGTATGTGCAGTTGGGAATGGCGAGTGGATTGGAAACACTATTAGGGCAAGCATTTGGTGCTAAGCAATATCACATGATGGGAATATGTCTCCAAAGATCATGGATTGTCTTGTCCACAACCACAACTTTCTTCGTACCGGTGTTTTTCTTCACCACCTCGATATTTAAAGCACTGGGGCAAGACGAAGACATTGCGCAAGTGGCAAGAACCGTTTCCCATTGGTTTATACTGGTGGCATATGCATACATTGTATCGTTCACCTGTCAAATGTACCTACAAGCACAGTGCAAGAACTTTTTTCATTTCGTACCTCGCAGCTACCACGCTGGCGATTCACATTTCATTGTCCTGGCTCTTGACAGTGAAGCTCAAATATGGACTTTCAGGTGTCATGGTTTCTACTATATTAACATTCTGGATCCCTAATTGGGGCCATCTTTTATATTTCATGTGTAGAGGATGCAGAGAAACTTGGACTGGTTTTTCGTTCATGGCATTCAAGGATCTTGTGCCTGTCATCAAGCTTTCCTTGTCTGCTGGTGCCATGGTTTGGTGAGCCCATATATAATGAAAGATATTCAAAACTGATTTGTAATCCTTCAATCCAAAATTGAGTTGTTCTATCAAAACGTTGTGTCAAAATGTTGAGTGGTTTCTTAACAACAAACATTCTGAGTTTGCATTTTCTATTTCACTTTGGTGACAGTCTTGAAGTCTGGTACAACTCGATATTGATTCTTCTTACGGGAAACTTGCAGGATGCTAAGATTCATATTGATGCTTTGTCTATATGGTTAGCCATTTTTTTCCATCATTTTTCTTAGGATTTGAATGCATATGAGCTTCAGTTTTTCACTGCACGATGACAAGATGCATTTATTCTTTTGCAGCCTCAACATGAGCGGGTGGGGAATGATGATATCTCTCGGTTTCATGGTTGCAACATAGTAAATTCTTTTTATTTCTTTTAGAGTCCCACATCGGAACTTTGAAGAAAAGATAATGGGTTAATAAAATGAGATCTCGAGTTGAACTAGATAATTGATTGAATTCAATTTTTAATTACGGTTCAGCCCAAGTATCTTATTACCCAGCCCTTGAGACCCCTACCTCATCCTAAATGCTATCAATTGAAGCTACCCTACATCAGCCCAGATAAAAAAGCTTTGAGCTACCCTAAATGATGTTGATGTACCTATGACATGGGGGCTTATTACAGCATGCGAGTTGCGAATGAGCTGGGAAGGGAAAGTGCAAAGGCTGCCAAGTTAACAATCAATGTGGTTTTGCTATCTTCCTTCACCATCGGACTAGTGATATTTCTGTTTTTGTTATTCCTTCGTGGGAGGCTGGCTTACTTGTTCGCCAACAGTCAGGAAGTGGTCGAGGCAGTTGATCAGTTATCACCTTTGTTACAAGTTTCTGTCCTTCTGAACAATGTTCAGCCTGTGATTTCTGGTACACCAAGCTTCCACTCTTATTGTCTGCTCTTGACAATCAAAACACGCCATACTATGATGATGATGATTATGATTATGATTATGGGTTTGTGCTACATTCCTACATACAGGAGTTTCTATAGGAGCTGGATGGCAGAGTACGGTGGCATATGTTAACCTTGGATGTTATTACATGGTTGGGATTCCAGTTGGCCTCCTTCTTGGTTATGTCCTGAATTTGTAGGTCAATGTGAGTGACTAATAGGGAAAAATAAGATATTATTTTTCAAAACCCAAACATATCTAATATAAATTTAAGATTATTATTCAATGCAAAGCCAAACATTAAAAAAAATACTCCCCTAGTTTTCCCCTTTTCCTACCACTTTCTGAGTTCCAAAGATAGTCATTGAGTTCAAGTTTTACTTATAGGAAAACAACAACAGCGAACACACCCAAGTATGAAATTGCTTTCTCAACTGTGTTGCAGGGCGTTTGGATTGGAATGCTATTTGGTACGCTCGTACAGACAATTGTGTTACTTATAATCACTTTCAGAACAGATTGGGACAAACAGGTAACTATTGCTTCATCGCTTACGGTCGGTTACCTTTTAATACTTACTGTTTTGCGAAAAAATACACTTTTTAGAGAGCGAAGGTAGTACTTCATTGTACTCATTTTTTCATTGTCGTCTGGTGCTCCAGGTTGCAGATGCCTAGCTGCGCGTGCGTAGTTAGATTGTAGAACCCAAATCTGACGGCACAAACGGTTCAGATGGTTAATGTACCACACTATGTACTTTGTGTGTAGTTATGTTGTAATGAAACAAAAAGGAACAAGCTATAGTCACACCAAAGTTAACATCAAAATCTGACACTGTGTTTCACAGACATGCATAGATATTTACTCTCTAAGCCACACAGACATCCTATGCGTTTATGTGCAACACATGGTGTCAAACTTGAGTGTTAAACTTGGTGTGATTATAGATTTACCCAAACAAGAATTCATGTGTTTTTAAATGTTTTTTTCTAGTTAAGTGTATTGTGAACTTGATGTGGATTATGGTGATTGAAGTATCTCGTATTCAGCGAGGATACGCTAATCTATACAATTCACCAAGTCATAACTAATGGGAGATATATCGGGGTATAAGTTTCCAAATTATGCTTTTTAGTGAATCCCCCCACCTCAACGACCCCCAAGAGTCGAGCAGGACTTGTTTGCTCACTTTGAAATCAAATTGAATGAGAAATTAGAAACTCAGTCTTTCTCCACTGCCACACCCTTTCCGGACTCTTACCACCACTTGGGTTTTTTTTCGTGCCTCGTCTTCATTATATCTATAGCTATGTACTTATCCTTTACTCTTGCCTTGATTTTTTAGTTCCACACTATCAATATTACCTGAATTTGGGCATTATTCCTTATTCAAAAATGAAAAACATTAGTAGCTGATGATTCATTATTTTGAATATATTTGAATATTGTTCTTGAATATAGAAATCACAACTCATTCTATAGGAGATTGACGCATCGAGTGCAGAGCAAATTGAAGATAATATATAGATAATTAAAATAGCACAAGACTAAGGTAATCAAAAATTTTCATAGGTGATGGAGAATTATTGTGTTCAGTGAGCTTTTTACTTATACTTTTCAAACTAATCAATGAACAATTCAAAGGGCAGGCATCCGGTTGCTTACCTGGTTTCAGGCCTTGAAAAAGAAATAACAACATCTAAATTCATGAGAAAGAGATCACATAGTGGCATTACCCTATTTCATTTCAGATAAACAACTTACAAATTCACATTAGTACGTTTTATTTTTAAATTTAATTCTAATTACGTGAAAGAGTTTGTTTTAAATTCATATTGATTGAAAGAGTACCTTTTGCTTTGAATGGATAATGTGATATAACTACATGGTTGCGATTATTATAGCTCCTTCTTCCTCGAAATTGGGATGTAGTTTTGGTGATTCTTCTTTCATTTTGTAATTCCTCCTTCAATGCTTCAAATTGTGCCTGCATCGAAGGGTTGCTTACCCGAGATCCTATACAAGCAATGTTCTCCCAGAGCCGTAGTTGCCCATTTCTGATATGAATTTTTGAAGTTCTGGTCTGATTGGGTTTGATCTGATTGGATCTGTTCTGATCTGATTGGATCTGATCTAATTCGGTCTGAACAGATTGAATGTGATCTAATGTGATTGGACCTGATATGATCAGATCTGATTTTATCAAATTAGATCTTGTATAAATAAATTTAAATTTGATTTAAATTAAACTTAAAATTACTACAAAGTTTAATAGTTTTAAAATATTACAATTCATACATACATAAAAAAGTAAAATAATAAAATCAGCTAATCATTGATATATTTAATTTTTTGAAATATTAAACACCTTTTCAATATCACTAATTTTTGAATTTTTTTGAAAACTAAATAATCGGCATTAAAAAACTAAATATTAGAAACATAGATGCTTTTTTTAAAAAAATACATTCTATATGCATATTAAATAATAATGTATTTCATGTTACAAATTAAATATTATATAAAATCTTAAACACTAATATTCCTTTTACCTCTATCAATTTTGTCATAAACTCACCCTTGTATATATTATACCATCTTAAAGTTTAAAAGTAATTTTTTTAAGTATAACATATTTATGGTTTTGAAAACTAAGTTTTGTATAATTATTTTATAAACAAGTATTTTAAAACAACTCTTTTTAAGTATGAAAAATACGACTTTTTAAGAGTTAACATTACTTCCATGCATCATTCCTACGAGCTGAGTAATTATTAAAAATAATGGTTTGTGGTTGAAATGTAATAATAATAATAATAAATAATCTAACAATAATATTAATAGTAAAAATTATAATATTAATTAAAATTCAGGCGTGTGTAGATTTAAATAAAGTAATGTGATTTAATCAAATAATAGTAATTATTATTTAATCCTTGAAAAATATATTTATTTTTTATATTTTTTCATGATTTGATATTCTTGGTTTTGATGTGGTCTGGTCTGATCTGATTGGATCTGGTCTGATCTGATATGATCTAATTGGATCTGATATGATCTGGTCTGATCTGATTAGATCTGATCTAATCTGATTAAATCTGGTCCGATCTGATCGGATCTGATATGATCTGATTTGACTATGTCTGATCTGATCTGATTTTAATAAGAATAAGTAATAAGTAGAAAAAATAAGTCATACAGAATGGACCCTAAAACAGAAGTATTAACATTAAAAATCAGAATATTGATAGTACCTGGGTTCGAACTTATACCCACTAAAAATAATTGAACCCAACTAGTACCCAAGACTCATTGGACCTACCATTTGTGCTACTAGACCCGGACTCATTTGGGAATTGGTTGGATTGGGCCCGATTAAGGGTATGAACGCGTGAGATTTTCGTTATTTTGTAAGAGCATCTCCAACCATATTTAGAAAAAATGATGAGTTATACCGGAGTAATAGCTTAACAATAGACTTTAGCGGTTGAAATTTTCAGTTCAATTTCAACCATATAGTGTAAAAAATAGACTTTATTCAATTTTTTAATACTCCGTATAAAATCAAAAGGCATCAAAGGGTTGTAGATGAGTAGATCAAATAGGCATCAATTTTTTTAATACCCCATAGAATATTTTATTCAATTTTAGTTTAGCTCATGTACATTTGTATGCTATATTTGAATGATGATTTAGTATTATTAGCTTACATTTTAAAAAGTAGTTCACCCAGTGAAGCATAGAAAAATTGAATAGTAACATCTATCCATCTATAATTTAGAACATAAAAGAACGATTCGAGTTGCCCTAACACATGTTTATACCACATATTTACACAATATAAATAGTTATAATTTTTAAGTTATCAAACTTTTTATCCATTCAATGATTTGGTTCAATATCATCATTCTTACATTATTATTTTTAGAAACTTAAATAATACACATAAATAGTACGGAGTACTACTTTACAAAAAATGTGATTTCTCATACAAAGTTATGGTGTATCTTAGTATAATAATAAATCTTTACTTTCAAATTAAACATTTCAAAGCAAAAAAATATTTTTTTATTTCTACAATCTCATGAAAAATTTGGTCTCCTCGATCCGGGAATAAGGTCATCCAAACCATTACCCATTTAATTTTTTAAAAATGGGACCGAATTCGGGTCCAGTAAACAAATATTAAATCTACCCTATGCCTCACAAAATATTTGTCGAGTCTTGGTCAGATCCGACCATCCGGGTCTAAACCCGATCCATATTTGACATGCCTAACCCTAATGATCACCATAATGATGGATTGTTATTTGGGACCGGAGGGAGTAGATCTTTCTAATCTTTCTAATCCTTTAATATAAAATTTGAGAGTTTGGACTCTGAGAATCTGATATATGACAATACAAGAATTTGACATGTGGCAATATAATTAACATGCTCTGTGGCGTAATAAGGTGAGCTCAATTTAGAAAATTCCTTCCAAATTTACTTCATCTTTGATTGGTATGTTTTTATAACATTTAGGAAAATTAAATCTTTTTTTCTTCTTAAATCGAAATCTTTTTAAAAGGGAAAAATTCCGCCCTGTCATCTCCTTAAATCCAAATCCATTACAGCAACTACAGCGCATAGTGTATATGCTTAAATATACACTTTATGCCATTTACTATTCATATTATCCTTCTCCAATGGGTTGTGTATATACAATGGTAAAATGCATTATAGTGCAAAATACCACTCCCACCTCCTATTTCTAAAAGGTCACTATTGCTCATCCTCTTCTTCTCTTTTTTTAATTTTCCTATCTTCTTCTCAATTTCGTCCTTTTGTTAATTCATTTCTTCATTTATTGTGAGTTATTTCTATTTCTTTTACATATTGTAATTTTATTCGTAAGTGACATTCTCCATTCTAATAATTAAACTATGAATTAAAATAAGTATTATGAATAAATAATTTAGAATAATAATAATAAATTAAAAAAGTGTATCATATAGAAGATATGATTGGAGTAATTATTAAAAATTGGGTGTGTATAATTGATTTTACACTACCACTTTATCTAGAGATGCTCTTACAAGGTATTTTGGATCAAAGTGTAAATTTTTTAGACACATAAAAAAAGAATTACTCTAAGTAGTTTTTTAGAAGAATGAGAATATAACCGGGTCAATCTTATGCAAAAAATGAAAAAAACCTTGCTTCAAACGAATCGTATAGGCGTATACTTTTGAATAAATTTTTAAGGGTTCAAATTATTTAAAAATACTAACACTAAAAGATCGTGTTTAATAGCATTAATTATATTAAAAATATTATAAATTATCATTTTAAAAATTTAAACTAATCAAATTAAATTATAGCAGTGTGAGTTACCAGTTTTACTTTCCCCGAATCTTTAGAGGTCTCGGGCTCACCACCTCTCTCCTCGTCGGTATGATCGTTGCTCTCAGGTGTTGGTTCCACATCCTTGAATATATTTTCAAGAATTTGAAGATTGGCGTCATTCCTACCTCCCAATGCAAATACTGGTCAAATTCTTGATCAGTCTTAGCGTCGTCCATGAATTGATGAGGGGTAGTAGGAAAGTGTTGGGAATTTGATTAAATATTCAAAAGGAAGAAGGAAGAAGACAACGAAGATAAAGAAAAGAAAGAAAAAAGATACGCGTATCATGCGTGTATGATGTATGTGAAGATGTGGTGTTGATGGGGCCATTGTCATTTTGTTCTTGGTTGGAAAATTATTGCAGGACACTCCCCATATAATTGGGTGTCTTAGAGAGAGAGAGAGAATGTGTGTGTGGTTTTCACACACCACCAAGGTAGAGAGAGAAACATGAGAGAAATTCTACACAAGAATGTCACCAGGAAAGTTCAAGGGGCTTTGATGAGCGTGGATGAGTGTATGGAGTAACTGGTATTTAGTTACTCGGAAAATACATCCGGGCGTAGGATGTGAAAATATCTGTATTTAGCCTTGTAAACAGGGGAGAGTTTTTTGTATATTGTCCTGAAATAGTAGAAATATAATTTTTTTCTCATATATTCTTCTTGTGTTTAATCTCTCATTTTTCTGGAGTTCTCAATATTTTTGGTGTCTTACGCGCTTAAAAGTGGTAAATGGAGAAATTTTGAGAACCAGAGTCTGGTCAGTTTTTGTCAGAAGGTGACCATGGGATTTCAGGAACAAAGTGGATGGCATGGGGACCGGGTACGAAGCGGTATGCTGGCTTTGTGAAGTATGGTGCATGAACATGACTTGAGGAGACTGGTGGTCTAGCTGAGTGGAAACTGCGGTTTATGTCTTGTGTCGAAAGTCTTCCCGGCAAGAAAAGGTCGGGCGGCGTGTCCCGCAGGTGTTGCTGCGGCGGTGCAAGATGGGCGGATCGAAAGAAGCTAATTGCTAGAGGGGTGGTCTCAAAGAGTGTTAACAAAGATGAGTGTTCATTTTTTAGCTCGGGGTGGAGGGTTAAAACTCTAGGGAGCTAAGGTAGTGGTAGGGATCTTGACGGGATTGGTTGAGATGGAGTCACGGGTACGTACAATGAAAACTGGAAGCGGTAAGGACTTTGTGGTATTGAACAAGGTGGAGCTACAAAAACAATAAAGGGTGACAGAGATCTTGCGGTTTTGAGCAAGATGGAACCACAAGAAAATTTACAAGGTGGCGGTGATCTCGGTGGAGTCACGGGGTTTTTCTTTTCTTCTTTCATGTTGACGGTGATCTCAAGGAGTAAATCGAGATGGAGCCAAGGTAATTTTTTCTTTGGGGGTAGCGATGATCTCACGGGACAAGTGAGGTGGAGCTACAAAATTTTTGATTATTTAATCAAAGTGGAGTTTGTTGAAAATTTGATTAAATATTCAAAAGGAAGAAGGGAGAAGACAAAGAAGATAAAGAAAAGGAAAAAAAGATACGGGCATCATGCGTGTATGCTGTATGTGAAGATGCAGTGTTGATGGGGCCATTATCATTTTGTTCTTGGTTGGAAAATTATTGCAGGACACTCCGTATATAATTGGGTGTCTTAGAGAGAGAGAGTGTGTGGTTTTCAACACACCACCAAGGTAGAGAGAGAAACATGGGAGGAATTCTACACAAGAATGTCATCGGGAAAGTCCAAGGAGCTTTGATGAGCGTGGATGAGTGTAGGGAGTAACTGGTATTTAGTTACTCAGAAAAATACATCTAGGCATAGGATGTGAAAATATCTGTTTATAAGTGTCTGGAATTTAGCCTTGTAAACAAGGAAGAGTTTTTTGTATATTGTCCTGAAATAGTGGAAATATAATTTTTTTCTCATATATTCTTCTTGTGTTTAATCTCTCATTTTCCTGGAGTTCTCAATATTTTCGGTGTCTTACGCGCTTAAAATCTCAACAAGAAGGAAGAAACAAAGTGTCTTCCTCGAGAAGCACATGAGCTCGAACCTTCAAGGTGGCGATAGCTTTGTCTCTATTAGAACGTCCTCAGTTCACAATGCCCATATCTACAGACCTTCTACCAGATTCTCTGACATTTTAATATATTTTTATATTGATAAAAAATAGGACAATATATTAGAAATTTAGAATATTATAACATGATAAATTTATAATATTAATAATAAAATATATTCAAATTTCAAAATATATTACTCCTTCTGTCCACAAATAAACTTTACATTGCGCGTTACGATGTTTGACTGGAGTTATTTTCAAATCATTTTATATGAAAAATGGTGTAGAATTGAAAAATAAAAATTACATATTAAAAAAACTATATCAAAAGATCTACAAAACTAGAGGTGACATGATTATAATATTTTATCAAATGGGTGATGAAAATAGGCCAACAAAGTGAATAAAGTTTGACCCTGTGAATAGTGAACGTAAAGTTTATATGTGGACGGAGGGAATATAATATAATATATTAATAATATATGATTATATATTTATATTATATAATATATATAAATATAAAATGTATAAGTATACATTATGAACGAGAGAATTTAGTAAAAATTAAGAGAGATTAAGATTTAAGAGAGAGAGAGAGATTGATGAGTGAATAAGTGAATTAAAAAAATAGGGGAGTATTTATAGGTAAAAAATACCCCCACCCCACTCCAAACGGCTATAGAACCGTTGGAGGCGCTCCCCGCAGCCCACATAGAATCAAGATTGTCAGCAAGCCAAAAAATATAAAAAATGGACCGGTACCGATACCACCTATTTCCGGTCACAAAAACTTAATACCAGACCCGGTACAGTGGGGGTCGGTTTCGGTACCGATTCAGCATGAATCCGTTTCCATTGCCGATCCTGGTGGACCGGGACCTTGTCTTGCCTTAGTAAGGAGTATATCTTTTTAAACGGGAAGGTTCAAGTGACATTGGAGGGCAATGTCATGGGATGACCCGGGGGCACTCCGGTGTCCGTTTGTAAAATTGACGGTTCCTGCCCCTCCTAACCCCTCCGGTTCCGACCCAAACACACCTCCACCCTTTTCAATTGCACCACACAAGTTGATTTTGAGTTTGGAGTCAAAATTTGACTCTAAAGTCAAAATCAACTTGTGGGATGCAATTGAAGGGGGTGTGGGGTGTGTTTGGGTTTGGGCTGAGTGGGGGTTTACCGGGAGGGTTAGGAGGGGTAAGAATCGTCAATTTTACAAATAGAGCACCAGAGTGTTCCAGATTATTCCATGACATTGCTCTCCAATGTCACTTGAACCTTGGAGCTTTTTAAAATAGGGAGCAACTCTAAACTCAAACTCTAGAGTGTAGACCACAAATACTCCGCAAATTCATAAAGGGATATGCTAGGGGTACACCAAAGGTGTACTCCAAATGTACACCATTTGCCTCTACACTATTCATTTTATTTTCTTTTTATTTTTTACTTTTTTTGAAATTTTATTGCCGTTTTTGTATGGTGATGGAGGGGGTGGGGATGTTTGGGATACACTTTTGGTGTACCCCTAGCATTTTCCATTCATAAATCCCATCTAGGGATGACAACGGGTCGGGTTCGGGTCGGATAGTACTATACCCGAACCCGACCCGACTTTTAAAATCGAAACCCGAACCCGACCCGAAACCCGACCTTTTAAGCTAAAAACCCAAACCGAACCGAACCCGACATTTCAACCCGAAACCCGAACCCGACTTTTAACCAATAATCAATTCGACATATCCCAATAATTTTGAAATGATTAAATCTAATTTTTTCATGTCTCTTTTTTATGTCTCATTTTTTATTAAGGAATTATAAAAATGATTATAAAAAGCATACTTGATATAGTAGCACTTTGTCAAGAAATTATACGGAGTGCTTATTATATCCATAGATAGGCTTTTATGTAATAAAATATTCGGGTTTTAGTCGGGTTGGGCGCGGGTTCGGGTCGGGTCGGGTAAAATTATAAATCCACACCCGACCCGACCCCGATGTCGGGTTCGGGTAAAAAATTTCGGGTCGGGTTCGGATTATTTTATTCTCGATTCGGGTTCGGATATTTTAGTAGTCGGTCGGGTCGGTTAAGCTCGGGTTCGGGTTGAATTGCGATCCCTATGACCCATCATAATGAACCCAAGGCCTACTCAAAACCGTCAGACTTTGTCAATATTCATAGAATTAGTCCGGGAAAAAACACCTACACAGTACAACCCTAGATACACCAGCTCTCTCACGCACTGACATACACTTCAGTCATCTCTTCGCCGCCGCCGCCGCAACCCCCCGACCGCGGCCGCCGGATTAGTTGCCGCCGCTTAATTGTTTACGGCATTGCAACGCCGTTGTCTTTTCCGGGACCGACCCTTTCGAAGTTCTTTATCTTTCACATTGAAATAAGATTCATCCTGCTCAGTTATCACACGGGATTTTTATTTACCAAGCTGAATTTAGAGTTTATTGATAATGACGGAGATCGAGATTGCTGGAGATGATAATCAGGGTTTGAATGGCCCCCCCAAGTCGCACTGGAAGTCACCGCAAGCTCCTGGTGATATTTCGTCTCCTGTAGGTGCAGCGGATTCTGATTCCTGGCCCGCGCTTTCGGATGCTCAGCAGCGGCGCAAGAGTAATAACTCTGGTTCTAGTTCCTCTAAGTCTTTGCCTCCGCCCACCCAAAGAAAGACAGTCGACTCTTCTCAACCTTCACCTCCTGTTGTGGTCCGTTTGAATTTCCCTCTCGATCATTACCATATACGGATAGTCCTTATTTCTTCGTGATGAATAGCGCCCTCTGTAGTCTGTTCTATTGTGATTTTTATGTGTGGCTTACCACGTTACCCCCATTAACTTATTGTGATCGTTATGTACGGCTGGATCAAATTTAACTGTCTGTGCGGTTTACCACCTTACTCCCATTAACTTTTGTGATCATTATGTACGGCTGGATCAATGTTAATTGAGGATTTCGCTGTACAGCTAAATCAGCGGCAGAAGTGTTTTGGCTTACAATTGCATTCACATTTTCTATGTGTTATTTTATTTTACAGGGCTCTGTAGAGAACAGGAAGTTTCAGGGGCATGCCAATACTAAACATTTGCAGAGGCCCATGTCTGCACGTCAGCCAAAAACGGGTCCAAGGCACAGGCCAAATGGTGCACCTCCATTTCCGGTGCCCATGGCATATCATCAACCTGGATTTCCTGTTTACCCTCCAATGATACCTGTTCCACACTTTCAAGTCCCCGGATACCCCTACCAGCGTCCCCGAGGCACTTTTCCTGGTACTCAAGGTCATATGGTTAACTCAGGTCCCAATATAGCAACTAAACCTTTTCTTCCACCAGAAAAAGGCAGTGTTGAGCCATCGTTACAAGGCGATCACAATCCCCATGGTTCCAAATCATTCTTGGGAAGGACAAATAAGCATGAACACAACTTGCAGTCCAAGTCAGCATTCCCTATTCCGCCTTCAATTGGTTCCAAAGATAACATTCAGCTACAACCAACCATGGGACAAAGGCCATTCTTACGACCACCATTTTATGGTCCAGCTCCTTCCTTTGTTGATGGATCAAACTTTCTTGGTAATATCACATACTCTTTGGTGCACATATAGAAGTGGGCACTTTTGAGATACAAATTGAATCTTTCTTTCATGTGATCATTTCTTTACCACTCTAGAAAGCCACGACAAACATTTGTGATCTCTCATTGCCCTTATAAATTAGCAGATGTTTGTTCACAATTGCAACTGAATTTACACTTTGGAGTATTATTCTGGAACACTTTGTTCTGTTAGTTTCCTTATCTTTTATCAGATTGTTACCCAACTATGGTGTCATAAAAGTGCTTTTCTAAGTTACTATTTTCTTATATACCATATTACTGTACACTCCATACAGGACCTCCAGGACCTATATACTATCTCCACCATCCGCCTTCCTTTGGTGTTGTCAGAGCGCCTTACCCACCTCACTTACTCCCGCCTCCAATGCCTGGAACTCAAATGCCATCCTCACCAATACTAACTCTGAGAGCTAGCATAATGAAGCAAATTGAGTATTATTTCAGGTGAATTATCATTAATATTGTTATTTTTATCCATGCTTGATAATATTATTGTTATAATGTTATTGCAATTTTTACTAGTACTGTTGGCTATGCTAGGTGATATTATTTGTATTTACTGTTACTTATAAATTCAATAAAGTATTTAATGTGTTTTGACTATATTTAATGTCTTTACATTTGTGCAATATGCAGGCACTCATGTGCGCATGTACATGTCCATATATATTTATGTTTATATCTGTGCACGTATTAGTCAAACTACTGGTATATAAAATTATAAATAGGTCATCTTTGAGAGTCAAAATACTACTTCCAATAAGCAGGCAACAACCAAAAAGTCTGTTTTGTTTCATAATAATGCTTCCATCCGTGGTTATCAAGGCGATAAGTCGAGTTAAGACGTTAACGAAGGGACTAGTCGACTAGTCAGTCGAGCTAGTTGATGATTAGTCGACAAGTCGTAGTAAGTAATACAATCCTTTAAAATATACTCTGTATCATCTAACATTTTTATAACAAAATTTAGTTGCACAAATAATAATAATAATAATAATAATAATAATAATAATAATAGAATAAAAGAAAACAAAAATCTAGAAGTAAATATAAGCATTATTCAAAGAAGGTTCAAAAAGAGTACAAAGTATTAATTGCACATATATGGGCCTATGCTTAGGCCTTCCAAAGAAAAAAAAAGAAAATAAAAATAGGGAGTAAAAAGAAAGTTGGGCTCACAGATCTAGAAGTAACGAAAAGACTAATCGTAAATTAAGGAGACGGAAGCAGCAACGGATGACCACAACATCATCGACAAACGACCACAACGGCGGCAGACCTACTTCCCTCTCGCGGTAGGGGCGGCGGATCTACTTTCACCATGGGTTAGGGTTTTCTGATCTGGGTTTTTCCGTCCTTCACTCTAGTCGCTAGTTGCCGGCGTCAATCATCTCTTCCTAGTGACCGGACGCATAGTCGACGACTTAATAACCATGCTTCCATCTCAATAGTTCCTTACGTAAGTTACATGGGTTGTATTAAGAAGAATATGATAAAATCCACTGTATGATCTATGAACTTCAATTAGAAGAAAATTCAATCCGCAATACAACCTATGAAGTTTCTAGTTTAATATGATCTGTGGGTACAAGTTGAATTATTGTTTTAACTATTAAGGGGTAGAACAACCAACCCAGTTAATGAGTAAGGACTAAGGAATTAGTTCCGCAAGTGGGGGAAATAAGGTATTCATTCTGTGTTAGATAAAAAACTTACAATACAATCTCAATTAATTCATTTCAGTAAATTAAGAGTTTTCTTCCAACAAAAAACTATTATCATTCAATGTTTATTACAAGACTAAAACCAAGAACTCAAAATATTCAAACATTCATTCATAATAACAAAAGAAATTGAACATCACTTGAGAACAAATCAATGCACATAACTTTTAATTCATAAGTTTTTATGCAACAAGAGAAACAAATGGTTAAATATGTGTGTTCAGTTTCCACAGTCCAATACATAACCTTTGAATTGGGAAACTTTTAATCCATGTCCAGTCCTTGTAATTTTCAATCAAATCTAATGGATCAAATTTTATATGGTGGGTTTCATAGATTCACAAGTTTCCTACTTACTCTTATTGTTAGAGGCAGTTCAATAGCACTTATTTTCATTACTGTTTAGTTCAGTATTGCGTAGTTCAAATTTACACAACAAGCAGTTCAATTAAGTTCATTTAGCTGAATTCCATTCAGCAATATTAAGTGGTCTCTTAGTGTAGTTTTAGTATATAAGGGGGAGGGTTGCTGATATTTTAGATTTTAATTATAAATTTAAAATTTAAAAGAGGAAAGTCATCTTTGATGCTGAAGTTAGGATGGAAGTAGCTTTGTTTGCTTAGGGTGAGAATGTGATATAACTGGATCTTGATAGGAATGAAGAACTTTCATGTTGGCTATTTGTTATTATTTCTATTGAGAGATAATCTAACTTGTTGCCCTACTCTCAAAATTTCAAACAGCATTTTAATTTTTTACTCGACATCCTTTTGGCAGTGATGAGAATTTGCAGAGTGACCACTACTTACTTTCTTTGATGGACAACCACGGCTGGGTTCCAATTTCTATTATTGCTGGATTTAAAAGAGTATGTTTCAATTTAGTTTTCACGTTACATTTGTGCTTTTCTGGAGTTATCATTTGCTATAATTGCATCCATATGCTTAGGTAGTTGTACTTGTAGCCTTTGTGTTCAGATTTGCTGCAGATTTATTTTTCTTTGTCATTGATGGTCACAAGAAACTGTATTTTCTAATGTGGTATTGTTCATATTCTGTTTCAGGTTAAAAGCATGAGTACAGATATACCATTTATCCTGGATTCCTTGCAGGCTTCAACTACAATTGAAGTTCAGGTCAATTTTTTCCCTGCCTTCTGGCATGCACTGTACTCCTTTCTTTTCTCACTTGCATTTTCTTTCTGATGCTAAAGTTCATATTTATCCCTGCCTTTGTTCCTCCATGAATGATTTCAACAGGGTGACAAGGTTAGGAGGCGTGATGAATGGTTCAAATATGTTCGAACTGTTCCCGATCAAAAGCCATCCGTTCCATTTTTGACTCCCCAGGTGCAGTCTGGTGAACAAGTTGTGCATGATTTGAAGAACAAGGAGCCCAATGAAGAAACAGTGGACAGCCTTGGTACGAAAACTTCACCAACACATGGAATGCCACTTGAACCACCATTAGTAGTTGTTGGAACACAAAAAGCTCTTGATCTAGTATCTAATGTACAAGGTGGTGATGTGACTTCACAATCTAGTAGAAATGATAAAATTGATTCTAATGATGAGTCTACTGGACCATCCTCTATAGAAGAAAATGCTGACACAGATGGTGTAAAAAGTCAACAAAGCCAGGGGTATTCAGACTATGCTGTAAAGAACATTGATGACTTATCTAATGATTTCTCAAGCACATTCATGCTCGACGAAGAACTAGAATTTGAGCATAAAGCAGAAGTAAAAGATGATGTACCTTTAACAGGAAGGTACTATATTGTCCCCATATATTTTTCATAAATATTCTCTACATTTCTTATGATTGTTTCATTTTTCTGTTTCCTTGAAAAAACTTCTTGTTTATTTGCTTAGTAGCCTGCGTGTATTACATTTGCTATCTGGTTTTCTACTGGTATACTAAGTCATTTTTTTATGTCATAGATTTTCTGCCAAATTCCATCTATATTATATGTATCTTATTATTAGCAATGTTCGAAATGGTGAGGCGGAAACCAGCCATTTTTGAAATAATACGCGCAACATGGCGTATCTCGCACCTATCCATTGTGGAAAATGGCGTACGCAATAAGGCTTATGCATTGGGGTGGGATTTGAGGCGTAAGCAATAATTGCTACCAATTTTTTTGGATTAAGGTTAAATCAGTCAATTAACAAAATTTAAACATATATAATTGATCTGATCGTATATGATGGCCCTAATTTTAGAACCATTGTTTTTCGTACTTGTCATCGTCTTCATCAAGTTTGAGTCATCACCTACCACCTTCTCGTCTCTTTATATTTTCTGTCTAATTTTGCTGCATTTTGATAAGTCTGTGTGCGAGGCTATAACGGCTGCCTATTTTTGTAGGTATTTTTTTACTTCGTATTTCGTTTTTTGTTTAGATTTTTTTTTCTGATTGCCGATCTGCCAGCCTGTGTTTAGTATACCCTTTCTATTACCAGCCTTATTTGTTTTGAGAATATGCTGCCTCTTTTCTCCATGTTTAAGTAATCTGGAATCTTTTTTTTTGTTGTTGAAAGAGTAATCTGTGGATCTTTATTTGCTTTGGTTTCTTAATTGATGTGGTTTTTTTTTTTGTTTCTATGCTGTGTTTTTGCATAGGTTAGTCTTTAACATTTGAATTAAGGCTTACGCCTCAAAACACCTTGACGCTTATGCAATACACCTTGGAATAAAACTTCCCTGCAACCACAATACGCAATTTCAAACATTGATTATTACTTATTAGATTAATCTAATTTGGCATGAATTTACCTTCTCCTAATGAGGTCAATTATTTCCTAAAATGTTAATTGGTAAACCTATAGAATTACTTGTAATGGCTGTCATTCTTTCATTTTCATGGTTCTCTGAAGAGTTGATGATGATGATGATGATGAGATGGCTATGAATGATGAGGAAAATATCGAAAAGCTTGTTATTGTTACCAGGGTAAGGAATTTTACTTCATTGTATGCACTATTGCACTCTACCTGCCTTAGGTTTTCCAGAGATGTGATATTCATCATTCAATTTTGACTTCACTTGATTTTACTTGATTGTACAGTAAGCATATTTAACAGATCATTTTTTGATGGAATCCTGTTCATATTGCATCTATCCACGGTCATTGATGAATTTTTCCCTACAACAACAAAGCCTTATCCCACTAGATGGGGTCGGCTAATATCGTGTTTGATCCATGTCATGAAGAGACCTAACACAACCCTCCTCTTCCTCTTTTATCCGGGCTTGGGACCGGCTATGTAACATAACTATATAGGCAGAGTTTTTCCCTACAGCCTGATAAATCTGTAAAAATTTTAATAGAAAAATAAAAAAATTTAAGTTCAGTTTCCTGTTTTCAATGACATAGATTTTTGTTTGACTTTTGTGGCTTGGTTTAGAATTCCCAAATTCACGGAGAGTTCAATACCATTGGGACAAAATCAAATCCGATATCTCATGAGCTTGCTTCTGCAATAAATGATGGCCTCTACTTCTATGAGCAGGTGTATATTTATTTATTTATTTATTCTATGGACAACCTTAATTTCAACAGTTGGATACTTGAATATTTTGCTGATAATATATAGGATTTTTTCAGGAGCTCAAAGCTCAGCGGTCAAATTGCAGATCTTTGAACTCGAATAATGAAGGTAGAGATGAGAGTAGTAATTCATCTGGTACTACAGCTTCTTTGATGAAATCAAAGACTGGTGATCATTCTTTTGAAAGCAATGGCTATGAAGGCCATGAGAGCTCAGGTTCTCGAAGGAGACAGTCCAAAGGATCCTCCAAACAGAACTCAATATATAAACAGAGGCTTTTTACTGGCAACTTGAGAAATCATGGGACTCATCGAAGTGGCCTTGGAGTAGTCTCTGAAAGTCCACCCTGTGATTCTGTCGGCTTTTTCTTTGGTTCTACGCCTCCTGACAGTCATGGGTGAGTTTAAAGCTACTATTTCTCCAACAAAACTAAAAGTTACTTTTGCTTTAGCCCATGCCCCACCAGTAGAATATTACATGCTCTTTTTGTGTTCTCTTCTGGGATGTTATACATGCATAGCTGTAATTGGCGCATGCCTTTTCTAAGACTGATGGATGTTTTCCAGGCCAAGGCATTCGAAGTTGAGCGCATCTCCTCGAGGCAATGTTTCAGGCAGCAGTCCTCCTGTTGGTTCCATGCCAAAGCCATTTCCACCTTTCCAGCACCCAAGTCATAAACTTCTACAGGAAAATGGTTTCACACAGCAGCTGTGAGAAAATTCAGCTATTGTATATATTACTAAAGTGGATTTGGGGGGGGGGGGGG